ATAATTTTTAATTTTATTTAAAAAATTATAAATACTTTTTAAAATTCCAAGCAAATTTGCCTGGAATATAGTTTAAGAGATATAATATAGAAATGATCTGCAAATATATTAGAAGAGTATTCTAAAATCGATTTTCAATTGAAAAAACAAAAGTATTTTTTATTTTCTGAAAATAACTATCAATTTTAAAAAAATTTTCAAAATTTTTTTACAAAAAGTTTTCTAAAACTATATAGTTTAGAAATTTGTATGGATCCCAAAGGCTTTATAAAGCTGTTATGTAGTAAATAACAAAAGTGTAACAATATAATCAATAATTTGGCCAAAATTTGTACTACAGAATTGCAGATCTTTACCAAAAAATAAAATAATTTGCATTATATGATTTTGAAAAATCCCTGACTGTATATATATTGTATCTTAGATATATTTTTGTATTAGATGCAACTCGACACGTGTCAGATACTGATTTTCAAGTGATGTGTATCACCTGTCATTCAGTCACCTAAAGTGCGTCAGTTGTAATCTAAGATACGGGAGTTATTAACTAACATACTAATCGATACTCACATATTCAACTATTATTCATCATGAAATTTTTGAATTTTTCACAAACCCAAATTTTTTTTTTTTTGTTTTTTATAAGTTTCTAGCAAGAGTATCTTGTCAACTAGCATCTGTTCAAGAGCAACTTCAAATAGCTAGAGTATTAAGTCAAGATGCTTTGTTGTCTCAGTTGGTAAAAAAGAAGAAGGGAATTGTTGATAGAATTGAGGCAATGAAGAAGTATTGCCTTAGGAAAGAATATCAAGTTTTTAGGCATGGAAAATTGTAATTTGTATTTTTTTTTTAAAAGAAATAAAGTTTAATTTTTCAATTTTTCAAATTGTTTGGCAATTATTTTCTCAAAATCTGCAGTATATACTTCTAATAAGTTATATAGTTTGTTAAGCTTATATTTTTGAAACAAAGTATAAACTCTTGTTGCTTGGGTTCGAAGTCGATTAGCACCAGATTTTCTAAATTTTTTCAATAATATTCTATTAAATTTTCTTTTCAATTAGTTATTATTGCTATTATCAGCAAATAGCTTTCCCAAATAATATACTATTTCTAATTGAACCACACAAGAAAAAATAAATTTTTCAACAAAGTCTTTTTAAAAATTTGAAAAATTGAGGAATTGCTAACCACTCTGTACTGCAGATCACCAAACACCAAAACCATAAAAAAAAAACAAATAAATAAAAGTAAACAAAGAGTTTAACTAATTTAGAAGTCTTACAAACAAAAAACAACAAGTAAACAATAAACAATAGATTGGAAAACCGAATAACAATAAGATCCTTTAGTAGGAAATTTACCAACCCAATTACCAATTCAAAAAAGTTAAAAATCTGCAAGACTATTATGGAATATATTAACCTTGGCTAGCTAGCATGGGAAACCAGTAGTTAGAGCCCTACCCACCAAGATCAGGAGTTATGGAAGTTGAGCAGGAAACCAATCAGACAGAAAAATGCCAGGTGTGTCCAGAAGACTAGCCAACCAAATTGGAAAAAAAGAATATGTGCTGAAAAATCATATACCAAGATAAGACAAAGGCACCAGGCATCTAATGCCAAGCCAAGATTGAATCTTTCAGGTTGTTAGTTGCAAGTAAGGAATAAATTAATAAAGAAATAACAAAAAAAAAAAAAGTCTGAATGTGAGTACTGGGATTGGGATATGAACCTTATAAAAGCAAAAGTGGTTAAATAGATAAAAACCCAACTGCAAGTAGAAGCCTTAGCAACTGTACAAAACCAGGTTGGCCCAAATAGAATAGGAAAAGCTCTAATAGGTTTACCTCAAGGATAGCCATGCATCTGCTCAACAGAGGAATGCAAGCCAGCAATTAGTCAGTACAAACCCAGGATAAGTCACAAAAGTCCTAAGGCAGGGTACACAATCTAGCAGAATGACTAGATAGTAGTTCCTGGGTTAGTAAGATATGCTTGAAAATGGTTAAAACCAGAAGGTTTAAATAGGTAACTCCCTAGTTGGGTTATAGATACAACATCTAGTGTAGAACCTGCGAGCAAACTACTTAAATAGGCACCCAAAAGGTGCATGTGTGGCTAGTTGTATCTTTGTTGTAACTATAATAGCAAATAATTACTAATAAAGAGTTCCCATGGCCAAAGAGGTCACCTTAATACCGAAAAAAAAAAAAACTATAGTACACTTTTTATTAATAATATACTGTGTATATAATTTTCAAAAAAAAAATAATAAAAAATAATAAAAAATATAAAATTCAAGGCAATTTCTATTTGTACACTAGTGTATAAAACGGGTACATTCATCAACAAAAAAAAAATAAATAAAAAATTCTATATAAAATTTTAGTATAAACTACCTCTAACCTACTAATTTTAATTCGATTTAAAATTTTTGCATTAAATTTTTTATACCCAGTTTCATACATTGGTAAATTTATAAATTCTCAAAATTCAAATATCTAAAAAAAAAAAATTTAATTTTATTAAAAATTTTATACTGTACAAAATATATTAAAATAAATTCTAAAATCAGAATCGAGTCTTAAATTCCAAACCCAGATTCTATAATTCTGAATATAAAAGCTTTACTATCTCTAATATAAACATGATTTGCCCGCTCTAAGAAACCTCTTTTGACTTGTCATAACAGAGCCCATAGGTTTGGTAGAGTTGACTAGATTAATCAAATTAACTTTTTCATTTATATTTGCAAAAATTTTAAATATAATTTATAGCTCTTTAGCGTCCATTTCGGCTAATATTTTTTTAAACATTTTTTTGTCAGACTTGGCTCTACCAGTACCTATCCATCGCGAAATGACATCGAAAGCGTATTTCTCCATAAATAATGAAATAAAAAAGTCAGCTATTACAATAGCCAATAGATACCATCGAAAGGTGTAATCAATGTTCTCAAGCTCTAGAAGGTTTATGAAAACACTTGAAGGTGATATAAGGATTACTGCAGTGAGGAGAGTAAAAAAGGCTGTCGTGATTATAAATGGAACTATTACATCGAAACAATTGGATTGTAAGACTCTTAAAAAAACAAGCATTAATATTCAAGCATGTAATTTATAGTACCATTTGTGATCATCGATTTTCTATATGGAGGTCCAACACTAAATACCGCTGCGATAATAATGTATTGAAAACAAGATAATAAAAATAATATCGAGTTTTCAAAATTTTTTATAACTGTCTCATTCGGATCAAAGGCTGGTTTCCGATACCTGTGGTAAATTTGAACTATATAATAAACTTTGAATTATCACAAAAAAAAAAATGAAAATTGATATACAAAATTTACCATGATTGATTGTGTATAATTATGAGAACTAAAAATTGAATTCCTGATTGAATTATAATCTGTCCAATCACCGACGTTAGCACCTTCTTGGAAACCAGGCTTGCAGTTGGGCGTTTTGGGTGTATGCGTGGGAATGGTTCCGTGCGACCCACTAGATAACAAGCATTAATCAACGAGGATGTTTATAAATAAACCCAAAAGGAATAAATGAATCTTACTTAGAACCGCGATAGGCAATATTAAGAATAAATCTAT